ACACCAAAAAAAACAGAGCAAATGCAAGAGGGCTCTGCTCCTAGGAACTTGCAGTTTAAATGAGCCACAGTGAAGCCTTAATGAAAAATCACAGTTGTGGTTCTACAATCATTACAGTCCCAATCAGTGTCTTTCTGAATCTGCTGGCCGCACGGAAACAGTCCGGATCAGACCTAAGCTCACAGCTGCATCTCTGAGGAACCAGTCAGAGCATGCAATACGGGATGGGTTTTTTTCGCCTGTTTTATGTTTTTATGCCAGCTTCTTGTCAGCTGCAGGAAGACTGACTGAACTGATGTAACTAACAGTGACATAATTGAAGTAACATAAATTTGACCTGTCAGAGGCTGCCCCCTCGATTTTTTTTTTTTTTTTTTTGAGAATTTTTGTTTTCTGCAGAATGGGTATATATTGATTCACTGGTCAGTGTTATGGGGCTACAGTGTTTTTCTCTCTGTACTAAGGGCCCTAAAACTTTACTAGCTCTCACACAAAACTCTGGCCTAAGCTGTTATCCCATAAAAATATATGCTTTTAATGATAATCCATTGGATAGATCCAGAGACGTCTCTGACACTGGTAAAATGAAGTTAAAACATACGCATAAGTCTTCAAAAAGAGACTGGAGAAGGCGGTGAGAGTACCCACACTGAGAGACAACAGCTGGATTCACCAGGGCACTCCAACCTCCTCTCCTTTTCCAAAAAGGAATCTTGCATCTGGCACTTGCATATAAAATTTTCTATTGGCACTTAGGCTCTGGCTGATGCAGAATATTGGCATATTGTTGGAATATATTGGAATATATTAGAATATAGCACTCAAGGTCAGTCCTGGCACTCAGAAGCACCCTCATTGGTGAAAAATTGCCCGGGACTAAAACCCTGAATAAGATCATCTCTCAATTGTACTATGGTCATGAGAATGTCAGTCCCAGAAGCCAAATACATGTGAACAGACGGTTGCATGTACTCCTTCCCTAGATCCTTATAAATAATCCAGTCCCCCACTTTCACTTCCAAAGGTTTTCCAGAGCTCCACTCCTTCCTGCTCTGCCATTGCCCAATTGAAATCTGTTGACAACTATTTCTTCTCATTCACTTACTCACAGCGGAACCTAAAATTTGAACTGTTATCTCCTTCCAAATTATCCTCTTTCTAGACAGCCCCATAAGGTCCTGGATGTTTAACAAAGGCTTATTGCACTTTTGCGTTATGCCAGAGGACATGCAGGTCTTCCAAAAGCGGCTGGAGAAAGTAGAAGCGTGTGGTCAGCATAACAGTGACACACAGCATCAGTATGAATTCTTCACACGGTGCATTATTCTTTACCAGACCTGAGGACCTCAGCAGCAGGCTGGGCTCCGTCCCGCCCTAGCTGCCACTGTGCATCCTCTGCTGCAAGCCAGAATGATGCAAGAGGGGAAAAAGAGGGAATGCAAGAGGGCTTCACCTCGCCTCTCAGGAATGAGGGAGCTACAGCGGTTACTGTACATTGGAAACATTCTCCACCATGTGGTGAGGAACAAAAGATTTTAGATTTATAGATTAATAATATTTTAGGGTCAATAACCCTTTGGAAAGTGATTAGTCTGAAAAACATCTTCTTTTTCATATATCACTCATCTGACATTTTTCAACATACTAGATGTGATCATTCCAAATCATAAAGGAATAACCTGTATAAAATAATTTAAAGACACACTGCTGAATTTTTCATTGGGAAAGACTTTAATAAACTCCAGATTCATTTAAAACTCTCTGGCTTCCTTGCTGAATAAACTACCAAAGCCTATGCAAGCCCCCATTAATTATTTTTTTTTTTCCATGGGATCTCATGAGTTTGTACTTTCTGAGGGATGTTTTACTGAAGCCAGTTATTATACTGGCTTACAAGATTTAACTGGTAAACGTCTCATTTATTAATTTGCATTTACTTTTTCCTCTCCACTCATTTAAAAATTGCTTGAAGTGACTATTTTTAAGGAGGTCTTAAGCTCGTTTGTCATATGGTATTCTGCCAGACTGAGGCGAAAAAAGGTTTATGTCCAAATTCTTACACTCTTCAATAGTAAGGTCTCACCGTCATCTCAGAAGCTTCCCATGTGATAATTGCCAGCGTAATCCTCAGGTGTGGTAGCTTGTCAGATATAAGGAATTATGACACTTTATGCCAGCTCAGCATGTGTCCCCACTGTTTTCTTACTGGATGTTTTAAAGACCTCATCTTGCCTAAGCTGAATATTTCCCATAGGCTTTCAAAGAAAAGATATACATATAATCTCATTCGATATTATTAACAGATACCTTCTCTATGACAGTGATCTCCTGATCGAGTTCTGAATTTGGTCTCAGAAGTTGCAGGCAGGCAGGCAGGCAGGCAATGCATTTGTGAAAGCACAGAATCAAAAATCAGAGGACTGAAGAAGAACCCCAGAAGAAACACTGCTAACTACTTGGCTACTAGGGAACTATTTCACTTTAATGGTATGGGCCCTCTTGAAAAAATAAATGCATGTATTTTTAGTTGCTAAAGCTTGTAAAATAAAAGTATCACAGCTATTTTTTTCATGAAATTATCTGAGTCTGTTGACACAAAGCATGCACATTTCTGGACAAAAAGTTATAAAATATTCTGACATATTTTAATATAAACAGGAACATTTTCAGTGATTGCTTGGATCTAAAATGTTTTTCCACTTGACATTTGTTTATACTTCCTAGGAAAGAAACTCTATTTATGGATAACTGAATAACACAAATAAACATCAGAGAGAGCTGAAAAATCAGCTTTGATTATGCATGAAAATCTACAATGTCATTGTGTACTCTTGTGCCGTATTCTGATTGCCTGTTTATTTTTACAGAGCTGCTGGCGAGCCCATGGAAGAAGAGCCAGCCTTGTGAAGTGCCAAGTCCTCCCTGATATTTCCTGTGGGTGACATCATTGTGTATCCCCCCAAAGCACCCTCAGACATGTCTTGTCTGCTGCTTGGGTGGCACAGATCAGATGGAACATAAACACTGGGCACAAAACTCTGAATAGCAGCTTCACTTGTTCTTTGGATGGACTTGAAAGGGCCCTAAAGATTCCTTAAATGTAACCGCTACAATTCTAGAGTTACAGTAAAACGGGCTTGGGAGAAAGAGCCTAGAGCATGCTTTTTATATGCTGTTTGACCCGCTCACCAACATAAATTGTGAAATAGAGTATTACAAAATTCTACATGATAGATTATAGATACGAGAATTGCAACAGCCAGCAAAATACTCGGTAAACTCCATGAATCATTTTCTGACACTTTTTACTGGGTGATTTTTTTCATACTGTGTTAAATTGTTAATAGAATTTGTTTTCTTTGCTCTGTGTAATGGAAAAAAAACCCCAACTTTATTTTACGTGCCATTTTTTAACCCCCTATAATGAGTTCTTAGCTGAATAAGTGAAAGGTGTGTAAATTGCGATGAGGGACTTTAGCTAAAGGGAAAGCACTTCTTATTGTACTGTAAATCCCCCGAAGCCCTGTGCTTGGTGGTGCTTTATTTTCTTTTCTCTTTTCTCGGCCATCCCTCCCCATTTCATGTAATCTTTTCTATCATAAAAACACGTTCACGATTGTCTAAAATGAGCGATCTTCTGCCTTTAAAAAAAAGTGCTGTACCCTCCGTAGTTGACAGTAGCTCTCACCAGATGTGCAGCAGAGATCAAGTAGTCTCTGAAAAATGGATGGCTTTTGAAATGTGCTTTTCGTTTGTTCTGAAATGTTTCTGTGTCCTGGCTCTAAGAGCAGCGATCTTTAGTAAATGTGTGCCGCTCATTTGAAGCTCAGGTGTTTCTGTGGAGGTTGTGTTTGGGTGTTTTTTTTACAGGCCGTCATGTGAATACGAACTGATTCTTTTATGTAGTCCTGCACCAAGAGAACTGATGTTGCTTAAGAAGTTTCAAAAGGTTTAGGCTTTACTTTAGATCCCCAAAGTGCAGCAAGATCTCCCTGCAATGTGACTTTAGCTGTTTAATTCCATGTTTGAGAACGTAACATAGAGTTGTGCCTTTAGCTGATAATGAATGCTTAAACTGTTACACGTGTTGCCTTACCGTCAGAGAAAGAGATAGGGCATGTATGTCAGACTACTTCCAATGAACAAAACTCTGCTTCAGCAACTTTTATTTTGTTTACAACTTTCTCACCTCATGAACCCTGGGAGATACCTTGAAGTATTCGACTAGCAGTATTTGATAGCTCGCTCAGCTTTTAAAAGCAAATGATGTTCTTTTTTATACATTTTCCAAACTCAAAATATATATTAAAGCCATAAGTGAAGACTGTCATGCTTTTTATTCTGAAATCTGAAAGGAACCTTAATTAAAACAAGATTTTGGGAAAGGCCATGATATGAAAGATATGGAACAATATGGTTTCAGTTACAGGCAGACTCAAACCTGTAAATCAAAGATGAAAGATTTCACTCAAATAGAATTATATAATTCTCTTTTGTTATGCAGTCAGACTATATCTTTCATGCATTTGGGTTTGTTTACAATTAGCATTTTAATTTTAAAGACTTTTATTACTTATACAAAAGCTCTCTGCTACAAGTTAGAAATCTGAGGCATGCTTTGAAAAGGGAAATCTAAAAAAGGAACGTCATTTCCTATAATGTGAAGTAAACTTTTATTCTGAAAGGCTTACTCTAAAATGGATGTATGCCCCTCAGAAAATGAAATAAAATTCTACCCCCATTTACAAGCCAAAATCATGCTCGTTTTAGTAATGCAAAGAGTCCCAGCAGGCTAAATTAAGTCCTGGTGTAAGCCACCTTGCCTGACTTTGGGCTGTTCTGAAGGGGTTGTTCACATGACTAAAGCAATCACGAGTTCATCCTGTATTTTCAGCAGACTTGTGATGGCAGTCTTGCTTGCCATTTACTGTAATTTTCTTGTGGTCATCAAAGAAGTTTCCCTTCAAGGAAACCAAGGACCATAGCTGATGAGTTGGGTAATTTGTAGAGCTTTTCACATTTTGAAATAATGGCTGCAAAATTTTAACTGAGTGCATAGTAAAATCATTTTAAAATTAACCCCACAAATGCAAAATCTGCTTGTGTCCTTAGCTTGCATGAAATGAAATATGAATTGCAGCCCAAAATGTAAGTTACAAACTTTACCAATTAAAATCTATGTTCTGGGGTGGAAATCAGCTAAAGCTGTCCTTTGTAGCTGGAAGTGCTTTTAAAATGCCAGAATAATTTGAATTAAACCACATTATAAACTCACACTTACGCATTTGTACAGGCGTACTCCCAGAAAGACATCTAGACATGCTATTGGATAAAGTTAGGATCATTTGGATAAGCAAATGTGCAAATAAAATGCACACAGATTGTGTCCATAACTCTGTTCTCACTGAAGTCAATAGCAAAATCCTCTTTGATTTCAATGGGAGATGGATCAGACCCTGCATTCTTTTTTTCCTTTAAGTCCAGAACACCATTACTTTTTGATTATGTCATTACAAGGCACCGTACAGCCCTCTGGGAAATGATCGAGGCTTATGGTGAATATCAACACTTCCTTCAAAGCAGACCTGGGCTTTCTGAGAGGGCAGTTTCACTTGCTGCTGTTTTCTTCTCACAGTATTTTTTATTACCATCAATAGCTCCCCATGGATTACAGTTAAAATATCTCCCAGCAACTTTAGACATACTTCCAGGAAATACTCACATAGACACTCTTAAAAATGCCCGGTTTTAGCTGGATTCAACAACAGATTCCAAGAATTTCAGATAGATGCACGAATTGCATGTTTCTGCATTTCTAATGTTCAAATTCAGAGGCTTAGGAGCTGTTTTTGAAGAGACGTCACAGCCTCATGTCTCCCATAGACCTCAGCTTAGGCTGGGGAGATTGACACCTCTGAAAATTAAGTCTCAGATATTTCAAGCTGGCTGCCAAAATATCTACATCTGAGCTTAGATTACATCTAAAAATGAGTTGAAATGGGTAAACAAGGGGGGGTAAATGGTGGTTTCTGAGAGTGATTGCATGGAGAAGGTGAGGCTGAGGAGGTGGTAGAGAGCCCTTGGAGCCAGGGTGACCCTCTGCCTGGTGCTGGTGGCATGGGGGCCGCAGGCGGGCGGGACAACGTCCCACAGCACCGCTACCCCAGGCTGCCATTGCCGTTAGCAGCAAATCCTTGCTTTGCAGGGGAAGCGCGCAGGAATTTGCACTCTGCCTGTGGATCAAGGTGTCTGTAAGCCACTGACCTCCAGAATGAGAGATGTCAGCAGCAAGTACCATTGACATGCTTGCTGCAGTTCATATTCTTCCCTAGAGTTAGGGACTAAGTGTTAAGCTCCGTGGGGCTTTTCTTGTACTCTTGTATTTTTCTTGTACTCTTGTATTTTTCTTGTATTCTTAGGTCATTAAATACTTTTCTTGTATTCTTAGGTCCTTAAATTCATAGTAGAAACTGAAAACTAGAAAGTGATATGACTCAGGATATCAAGAAAAGAATGATTTTTATCCAGCTTAATGCTTTTATCTGGGCTGGAGTGGGAACAATGATGAACAGTAAATCTCAGAACTGCTAAAACCTGAGTGTCTTGCACTTTGTTTTTGAACTCTGTGTGCAGGAATTCTGTATGTGCTCATTTGGCTTTAACAGAATCTGCAGCAATGAAGTGCTTGATTATATGATCCTTTTTCAGGCAAAATTTCTAGCGAGTAATCAAAGTTCATGGGAATTTTGCCAGTGTAAAGATGACAGAATTAGTCCCTTTTTTAATTATGTACCTTCCTAATTTTACTTTCAGTGAAAATGAAGTGACTAATTCCAGGCAAGTGAATCTGAGGAAAAGAAAATCATTAAGCTATCTTAAATAAACATCATAAAAGAAAAAGAAAATATAAACAGCTGTTATGCAAACAAAGATGGCTGTTTCTTTACTTTGCAAAAAAGTCAACAACAATGCTGCCAGCTGAATGAAAGTGGCAAAATGAATCCCTCTCTAGGGTTTGTGGTATTTGAGTTGGTGTCTTATCTAAGTGCAGCCTCCCTAAAAAGCTGACAGTCATAACCAGAGATGAAATATTAGAAAGGTTTTGCTGCAGCCAACACCAGAGGTCCTGTAGAGAACAAGAATGTAGAGACTGACTAATTTGTGTAGACAGCAGGACACTTTCAGGGCAATGTGTCTGGGACGAAGAATTAGAGGGAACTTTTCCAAAGGCACTGATGGCTGTGAGGCAACTAACTTCTATTAGCTTGCAGGCACAAGGAGATGCCCAGCGAGCATTTCTTCCTTGGGAAATGCCCCCTCCCTCCCACAAGCATGCCCACACGCATGCAGACATGAACCTCGCTGTACAATTTTTTGTCCTAGGCAGCACCAGCCAGGTGTGCTGCCCTGACGTGTACGCTGTGCATTTGCCCAAGAAGCCATCAGCCCCTAACAGACATTTCATGACATGACTGATAGGGGAGATTTTTGTAATTTTTTCTTTCTCACTAGTGGCCTTTCCAGAAGTGTAGCAGTGCACGGTTGTTTTATTTTAAAAGGTCACAATAGAGCTTTGTGAACCATTGTACTTTTTTTTTTTTTTTACAGACTCCATATGGAAGTAAAACAGAATATGTACATGGCGGGGGAACCTGCTGGGAAAGAATTTCTCTTAAATCAAGTTTCTGCTACCTGCTTTTCATCCTGGATTTGGAGGAGTTTGGATTCTTAATTATCATTTAAGCTTTTACTTTGTCATGTCACTCGCTTTGGTTTTTTACCTATAATTGGATTCACCTTTGTAACACACAGAAAACCACCCCAAAAAAGTCTGTCTCTTCTGACAGATGCCCCTGCCCTTGGTGTGGGAATAAGAATAGCTTATCTTTGTCACTTCCAGCAGCAATTAAATGCTTCATTTTTGTGACAGATCCAAACTGGAGTGGTATTTTATGAGTGCGATTTAGCTGGCTGTCTGCTGATTGTTAAAAAAAGAAATTGTGAAACTCACATTCCTCTCTAACCTCAAAAGGGACCCATTTTGATTTTAACAATGTAATATTTTCACTTGATCCAAAAGGTTTTTGTCCCATGACATCTTGTTACTAGCTCAGTTTTAGTCTCTAGCAAATAACACACCACAGAGAGTGAAGACCAAAAAGGACATTCCAGCAACTATTAATTATATCTCTTCTGCACAATCCTTCATCCTGCTCTAGTGCCATGCTCTGTGGTTCAGCATATTAGAAGAGTTTATAGAAAACTATAAATTGTTCTGTGCCATCAAAGATACTACTATTGGGATGTTAATTAGCACACTGTGAGTTGGGCTGTAATTTATAAGGAAGACATGTTCCTGTGTGGATGGTCTAAAGGCAAGTGACACATGAAACCCATGGCACTGGTACTGTGCAGTGAGAGTGATTCTGTGCTAAGATCTCCACACATTATCCCCTTCCCAACGGCACGCCTGCGTGTCCAGAGGCACATTTGCAATAGCAGAGCCCTAGGATGCCCTGATTCAAAGACCACTGAAATCCCTTCTCTGACAGGCTTTGGGTAAGATCTGGGAGGCAGCTAGAGAAGAAACCTTAACTTTGTGCTCAGCCACACACAAACTGTAAAAAAAAGCACAGATACAGATCTGAACTCAGCTCCACACCCCTGTTTCTGATATGAAGAGCCAGTTCTGCTTCTAGAAAAGTCTGTCTGAAAGAGCATTGACACCAGTGGATATATTCTATTGACTTCAGCGGGATTCAGGAGGGTGTATGTCATGTGTTATGGGAACAGGTTCATATTCATGTCTCCTGCTACTTCATTTACCACTATTTTAAATTTCTTGACCGGCTTAATATTCCAAGTTAAGATGCAGTAGGAAAGCATAAAGCAATACCTGGTGAAGTCATAACTAAAAATTTCAAAGCAAACTTATTGCTGTGGGTTTTTACAACACTGACTTTTTGGTCTAGGGATGCACAGCTGAAATGTCTATTTTTTTCTTGGAAAATTGATGTTGCTATCTGTTTCTATGATAAAAAACAGTCCTTTTGGTCAGAGCACTAAAAGTTTATCTGTAATTTGTCTTTCCCGGCAGATCAGATTCTAAGAGATAAAGTATCAGTGGGACCAACCCAAAGAGCAAAATTTTTAAAGGTCAATAGTAATATTTTCACAAGAGTAAAAGGAATATGTGGATTATTGTTATTATTCCTGATACATTTTTGTATCTGAAAGCATCCAATGAGTAATGTTAAGTAATATTGTGCTCCAAAATGTTGTTGATTGTATATATACGA